CCCCAAAACCCCAAAACCCCAAAACCCCATAATATCAAAATTAGATGTTCTTGTTAAGATTGTATCTTTAATAAATAAAAAGCAAAATAAAAATGAAGAACTCATTTCAGAATTTAAGAGCTAAAAAAACTACAAATAACTCAGCTAACTATAGCAATCTTACCAGCAGAGGTTAAAATAACTACTAAAACTTATCATATAGAGATACTCAATAAAAATCATCAAATTTATCCTCGAGATCTAAAGTAATTAAAATATTTCAGATAAATAAGTATCAATTAACTTACTTTGCAGGGTGAATTAGGCTAAGGTTAAAATAATCTAGCAGCTGAGTAAAAAAGGATCCTAGACTAGCATATCAATTACTTCTCAAAGGATACCTACTATAAAATCAAAGAGGATCTTATGTCTTAAGAACCAAATCAGCAAATAGTTGAAATTTTCAAAGATTATCAGTCTCATCATGGTAAGTAATTCATGTCACATTTTATTGTCTATAAATTAGACTTCTCTTTCTATTCTTTAACCTCTATACAGATAGCGATTAATTTGTGCAGCAGTGTCTTAGATATTATAATCATACGGAATATAATAAGTTATTCAAAGGAACTGATGATAATTATCTAATGAATGATTCAAAAAGTTTTGACTAATCCCAATCAAATAAGAAACGCCTCAAATCACATGTTCCAATTTAAGTTAAATAATCTCCAGAAATGGGGTAGTAAGAGCAAAAGGTTAATTAAACTTTTGATAGAAATAGATATCCAGGAGGCCGTGGTAACAGTTCTTATGCTGGTGGAGAGGGAGATAGAGCCTAGCAGAACAATATTAACAATAACACCTAATCAAGTTCCAGATCAATTGAGACACTTAGAAAGAGTTTACCATTCCAAAGAATAGAAAGGCCTATTTAAAAGATTGTTAATCATTAAAGAAGAGATTCTTAGTAAAACTCAGCTGAACTTAGAAAAAATAAGTTGGCGCAAAATGATCTCACTTTCGAGGAAATCAGAGATATTCTAAAGTTATAGAGATATCAGTAAAGTGCTTAAGAGTAGAGATACATAATAGAGTAGATGCTGCCCTATGTTTGGTACGCTCCCATCAATTCTGTAGCTTTTTAAGATCTCATAATGAGATATTTCCAGAGTGAGATCGATATGATAGACTCCTAATATATTCCAGAGGAACTGATATTTAGCTTATTCAAACTATTTGATACTAATTAAGATTATTTGATTGATAAGCATGAGTTAGAAGTTGGATTCTAAATTCTTCTAAATGGAAATGGTTCTAAATCTTCTCCTGACTCGAAATAAGTTAGCAGAGTAAACTATGTCTCAGTAAGTGATATATAGAACAACAATTAGAGAGACTTTTCAAGGCTGTTTGATGAAATAGACTAAGAAGGAAAAGAGAGAATATTCTTGAGAGATTTAGAAAAATTCCTAAAGCCTCATATTCAAAGAATGCAAACGAAAAATATAAAATAAAGCAAAGATCATATCCAAAATGATGCGATTGTTCATAACTTAGCTTTGGAGATATTTAAAAGATGCAATATTAGCAAGAATGGGATAATTATTAAGCAGGAAATGAGAATATGGATCTTGAAAGACAAAGGCTAATCATTTGCAATACTCCAAGATTTGCTAGAAGGAAGATAAGATTATTTCGAAGAGTATCAGGATATATTGTTCAGAAACATTTAGTCCCCATATGATAATGACTATGCTGATTTAAATGATAGAGAAACCTCTCCCTAAGTTTATAAGTATTAAAATACCACAGAATAGGATGAAAAATTGCGACTATCTGAATTGAAATAATCTCAGAAGTATTAATTGAAGCCAAAGATTAAGGAAGAGCTAAAGAGTCAAGGATTTGTAGTCTAAGATCAAGATTACCATTCGAATCATTCCACTAAGCAGAGAGAGAAATTAGATGAACCAAATTAAAGTTCCACTGATACTACAATATCATTTAAAAAGCCAAGACCTCCGCCAAGAGATCAGAGACTTGCTGACTGCTCAGGTTTTTCCTCATCTCTTCTTTAGAATAAAATAGATCAGAAATTAGAAGCTTAACCCGAATAGAAGCCAAACTAATCAGATGATAATCCAGCACCTAGTTATGACAAAGTTTTCGAGACCAATGAGTACTAGTCAGTTGAGGAGAAAATTAAACTACTGTCAATTGATTCTGGGTTAAAGAGAATAAATGCATTTGCCTTTGCCAAATAGATCAAGAAACAACTTGAACTTTACGATGAAAGCGATGGAATGTCATTTGAAGAGTTTAAGTCTATACTTGAGCCATAGCTGCGCAAAGTAGCAAAATCCACTTTTGAAAAGAAAGGCTTTGATAACATATTGAAGCAAATATTTGACATATTCGATGATAACAGTAAGTTTTATTGTATGGGTTAACTCTAAAATAGAGAATGGAACTGTTGATCAGAAAGAGATGAGTAACTGCATGGCTTTAATGTGTGGAGGAACTGTCCAGGATAAAATACATGCAGCTTTTATACTTTTTGACTTTAATGGCTCAAATACACTCAGCTATGATGAACTCATTACATTCCTTGGAACAGTATTCAAAATCTTTGACTGTTTGATGTCAAATAAACAAAGTAAATTACACTTTTAAATAATATAATAGGCTCTGAGCTATTTTCAAAAATAGATATGTACAAGCTTACTCAAGAAACAGCTGATAAATGCTTCAAAGACCTAGGTCTAGTGAGTACCTAGGAGATTTAATTCGAGATCTTTCTGGAATGGCTGCTTAAAAAACCTATTCAATCTTCTGAGCCTATACCATAGTAAACCAAGTCATAAAATATCAAAGGAAGTCAGCCTATTAAATAAATTCCTTAGAAATAAGAGACCAAGCCTGTATTGCAATAAGAATCTTAAAAATAAAATCTGATTAAAAATTAAATTAACGATCCAAAAGTCAATGCTAAAGCAACAACAAATAAAATACAAGAAAGTGAATAACCCTAAAAGACATAAGTTCCAGAGCCTACTTAATAGTAGTTGATATAATCTTAGTAAATACCAAAATCAGAGATTAAGGAACGAATCAGAAAACAAACTTTAGAGTATGTTGATAAATTCCTACAAATGTAGAGGTATGTAGAGTTAATGAAGGAATTGAGAACTCAATCATAACTTGCAAACGTAAGAATTAATGATGTGATCAAGGCCTTTGACAAGCATAAAGTTTCATAGCAGATTAATAAGCAGGTGTTCTTTGATACAATGAGAAACCTCATTACGATTGCTAATCCATCTATTGATAAAAACCAGACTCAATAAATGGATGAGCAATTGAGAAAGCTTTACTCTTAACTTGATCAGGATAAAAATGGGATCTTAGATTTAGTTGAAATCCTTTCAGCATTGTCACTTCTATGCAAGGGTTCGATTCCATAAAAAATGAGTTGCTTATAATAAGCATTTTTCAAATAAGAAAATCAAGGATAGGACCAATAGATAAGTTTTAAAGAGCTTAAGAAGTATCTATTATGCATTTTCAAAATATCACTTGAAACTAAGAATGAGGTAATATAGCTTTTAATAAACATTAAATTAGATACTTTTCGATTTTGATCTAGAAAAATTGGCAGAGAACTCAGCTAAAGACTGCTTTGAGTATAACTTAGAAGATGATTTTGACCAAGGTACTTTAAATGTTGATGCTGTTCTTAGATGGCTGAACAAAAAAGGAGGAAAGATATATTGAGACAGATCTTATCACTAAGAATTCTAAAGCTGAAATCAATTTTCTTTCAAAATTAATTTCATAATTCACATGATAAATTGATCTGAAAATTGAAGGATGGGGTTTTGGGGTTTTGGGGTTTTGGGGTTTTGGGG